GACAACACAATCAAATAACATTTAGTAGTTAATTATAAGAAGCATAAGATTTAAGTAGCAGTAAAATATTTGTTGGAATAAAATATTATCACATTTTTTCCTTTCTGTTTGTATATACTATTTAAACTGATCAGCCACAATATTAAAACTACCTGATGAATATCTTTGTGGTTCCCCACACTGGGGATAAGCTAAGACCCTCTGAGGCTTTCTTTGTGTGGCACATACTGAGCGTGCCCGATCAACTCTGGAATCTGGAGGTCTTGGTCTTGAATTCAGTAAAACACAACATTGTAGTTAGATTACAAAAGGTAATCACCCGTCAGTAATTGTGGATTGTGTATACGTGAGATTTGCAAAGCAGCTGAGAATTTCACTCCTAAGCAACCTAACCACGGTGTCTTCCCACTGTGGATTTACTGTGAGGGGATTAAAACACCGTGGGAGTTTTATTATGAACATTATCATATGTCAGAGTATCGGTTGCCACGGTAACAGAATATAGTGTGTGTTGCAGGTTTTGGGCACGCGACCCGGATAACGCGGGTGAAAGCAGTGCGGATCTGTGTGGTCGACTCACCCCGAGGGTCGTGTACAGCCGGAGCTGGTTCACTTTCAGATGCTCCAACAAGCTGCGGACGATCTGTGAGAGGAGGCGAGCTTCTCTGACCTGACACCGAAATATCTTCATAGCAAATAAACATTTTACTCAGGAAAACCCCCACGTTTGTCTGTGCTTTCATTGTGTTTTTCAGCTTCATTTTTATATCCACTATATATCTACATTTATTTGTTTGTTTGTTTGTTTGTTTGTTTGTTTGTTTGTTTGTTTGTTTGTTTATTTATTTATTTATTTATTTATTTATTTATTTATGTATTTGGGGGGGGCAAACTCAAACTAATTCAAATAAAACCTGATATGAGATCTTCCCAATTTATGCACAGGAGGCTAAGGTTTATCCTGGTAATTTTATAGCTTATTATTATTATTCACTGCTAATTTGGAGCTTCAGGAATTTTCTGCCTTGATCCATCAATTTGATCGTTAAATTTTATAGCAATGCAAATTTTAATATATTCATAATTTTATCACGTTTGTTGTGTGAAGAGGAATGAAAGTCAGTAGAACAGGACAGGATAGATGTGTGTGAAGGAGGAAGACAGTTGTAATAGTCCAGCTGCAAGGAGCAAGCGGAGGTGGGTGAATTTAAACAGTTGGGGTCAAACAACAAAAGCAACAGAGCGGGTGGAGGTGAGAGTCAGGGGTGATTTGTAACAGAAAAACAGCAGGGAGTGTTAAAGGGAAGGTTTACAAGAGACACAATGTATGATTTGAGTGTGGTGACAAAAAGCACAGGAGGCCAAGCTGGAGATGAGTGACCAGCGTGGATTAGAAATGAATACATCAGAGGTCCAGCTCAGGTCAAGTGGTTTGGACACAAGGTTACTGAGAGGGTTTAGATTTTATTCATATGTGTATTCCAAGACGCTCAAAAGCAACTTACAAGCAAATAAAGACCAAAATCTGCTTAAAATGAAAACAGTTGGAAAAGACCATAAAATGAAAAAGTCAACAATACAGAATCAAGCAGAACAGACGTGCTGATGCAAAGAACTAAATTTGAGCATGGCTTCTTAATTTTAGTCCTTTATGTTCAAATAAATCTGTGCTTGTTGCTCCTCTGTATGTCCAGCAGGTGGCAGTGCTGCCTTTCCAAACATCGGTGGAGGCGCCATTTTTTCTGTGGGTTTTTTTTTTTTGGCCGTTTTTTCCCAGCATGCTTTGCCAGCGCACTGTCTTTCAAAGCTAGAGGACGCCGGGAGCACGGATTATAACGGAGTTGATTTGTCGACGGTAAGCCGGTTTTCTTAAGGTTTCTACGTGAATAGCGAGTCGATACTAATTTATTTTAGGTGTGTGCGCGGTTTAGAGCCTCTGTGAGTTGTTTTTGTGCTTTTTTCTTTTAGTTCTGTGGTGAAAATGTTTAAAAAACTGTGTGTGATTAGCAAACAGCTGAGCAGGATTAATCTTAACTTTCTATTTTTATCGATAACGTCGTTAACGAACGGATTCATCAGGACTCTCGTTTTATTTTCCAGTTACTGGCAGGGAAAATGGGCTTAATATCAAATTAGAAGTTAGTTTTAAATAAGTTTAAATCGGCACACAGCATAAATGTTTGCAGTTAAAGAGCGCAGCTTAAAGATATGTTATTTAAGTAGCGCTCACTGACTATTATTAGGATACTTTGTGGATATAAATGCTTTCCTGTAGTCCGTGTGTGCAGCATGATCACGTTTAAGCGTTGCTCACACGCTGTTGATCCTGTGCAGACCTCCAGCAGCTGAAACATGTCAGACGCGGTGCAGGAGAAGATCAAGAACTACAGGACGGCTCCGTTTGATGCCCGCTTCCCCAACACCAACCAGACACGCAACTGTTTCCAGAACTACCTGGGTAAATGAGACGTGTGCTGCACACGGTGTCCACGCAAAGTCACGTCAACCTTTGTCATAATTCAGTGTTTTCTTCCATCAGACCAACGCAGGTGCAGTTCCTTGTTTCCTCTTACACTGAGCACAACTTGAACTTTGAAATCAGACAGGTAAAAATGGCCACAGGTTATTTGCACCTTTGCTCTTCAGCTTTGCCTGGGTCTTCACTCACACTCTCGTAATGTTTGGCTTCTCATAAACAGGAAACCTGCAAATCTGCTGAGTGTTGCGAGTCTTTTAGCTGAATTCTCACTTATTTGCTTGCTGCTTTTTTTCCCCTCATTTTGATTTCATCATCTCTTCACATAAAAGCTGCTTTTGGCATGTTTGCTGAGTATTTCCATTACTTGGCTGCAGAATTTGTTGTTTTCATTTGAGACTAATTGAGGGTTTAAACTGCAGCAGTTCTCACTTCCAAACTTCTTCTGGTCAATTTTATTTCTGTGTGAGACGTCGAGTTTTGACAATCGACGCAACCCATGCTTGATGTCTGAATTTCAATATTTAAATCAAAGTTGCTTTGCTGCTAGTTTCTATTTCAAATGAAAACTCAAAGAATTAAACACATCTCCTTCTATGCTAAAGCCCAGTGTGATGGTGGATTTGCTGCAGACTAAATGCACTCTCTAATTATCTCTTTCATCGCTGCTGTGATTCAACTTCACGTTAGACGTATTGATCCGTCTGCATATGTAATCAATGTTTTGATTAATGCTGCTTCTCTGCTGATTTTTCAGAGTAAAAGTTTGCATCAGTCTTTGTGGAAGTGCAGGAAAAACTAAATGCCACCCAGACTCAGTTTAAATCTGAAGTGACTGTAACCTAAATCATTGTGGTAATCTGATATGAAGCCAGAAATTACCTTATATGGATGATGGGGCACAACGCAGTCGGTAATGCTTGGTTAGCAAGCAGCATTCATAAAGTGTTCAGGTGCAACACACTGATATTTATTTATCAATAGATAAATAAATGGTAAGTAACAGAGTAACAAAACACAAAAACTTGACTCACCAAAACTAAAGCACACAGCATACGTGCTATAGATCATCAATTAAAAATGCTCCAAATGCCCAAACATCACAGAGTTGGGAGGTCCAGCTCAGTGACTGTTTATCAGACATTCGGCCTGGCAGACAGCCGTTTGCTTCAGTTCACTGTTGAACGTCTCCCTGAGGCTGTTATGAAGGGAGAACTCTCTGTAGAGACCAAAACCATTGGTGTAGCAGGCTGTAAACACGTTTACATGTGAAGTTGGATGTTGGGAATCACTTCTGCAGTCAGGCTTGAGTGCCCATTAGAAAACCTTCTTGGTGCGTTTGCACTGGCTTCATGGATGGATGACTTTGATTGAAATATCTAAAATAAGCGTGTTGACAACCTGATTTTAAAAAAGGGGGGAGAAAGAATTTGCTATGAGTGGTTGACAAATAGGAAGTTATTTTTCCTTGTTTTGTTTTTTGTATAAATTACCACTTATTTATTTTACCATGAATACTTACATTTGTTGGATTTAATGTATATAACAGCTGAAAATTACACCAGTTTTAAGAGCAGTGATAACTGCATCTCCCCGATGTTTCTCATTTCAACATATTTGTTGGTATTTTATACATGTCAGTGTAGGGCTGTGCGATATGACCAAAATCTCATATCCCGATATAAGACATCTATCGTCCGATAACGATATAAATCACAAAAATGTTACATTTTCTGTAAATTCTGTGAATCTCGGGCAGCTCGACTTGCGTGACGTGTTTCCAGCTGTGCGTCATGTACCCGGAGTCGAGTGTTTTAACCGATGCATGAAACGATACATTTTTAGACATAAGTTGTAACGGCGCCGTTTTCTTTCAGTGTTTATTACACGGCGTGCTGCAGGGAAAAGCCTGTTCTAACGTTTGAGTCTAAGGTTTATTTTTTAGCACCTGGCGGCTCTTTTACTTCTCATCCGTAAACACTGCATACTCTTTCATGTGATTCAGTTTATTTTGAAAAGTCTCAACAGGATCTTGAGCTTTATTGTGAAAGGTTTATGTTGAACATAAACAAGCGGACACACGATGGTGTTACCGTTGTTGTTGCTAACGACAACGCATAAAACAGGCGCTTGTCCGTCTGTAGTGTGGTTATATTAAATATAAGAGAAAGAGAGAACTTTAAGAAATGAATATAGCCACTACAGTGACCATCAAAACCATGAAAAAAATTGCCATAAACAGTTTATTTTGCGACACCACGAAACAAATGATAGCGTAAAATGAAACGATAGATGTTTTTATATCGTCATCCGATATATATCATTATATCAAACAGCCCTACGTCAGTGATAGTTATTGTGTTCAAAAATATGTCAAGTACTTAAACTTTGATTATTATTATTGATTAAAAATAATCAAATATTTTAAGGATAAAACATAATTTCTCAAAAGTTCCAAAATAACTTTGATATCTCAACATTCAATCTGATGTTCAAACAATTTTTGACTAGTTTATTATTTAATTATTTTACTTCCTAATAGGTAAGTCACTCAGTCTGAAACTCAAGAGCTCAAACTCATGATGTATCTGAATTTATATTTTTTAAATTGTATTTTAACACAATGTTAAAATACAATGTTTGTGTTACAAGTTTCTTTAAAATTTCCTGTCCTGTGACGTGACAGCCCAAACGCATCACACCGACAGACGGAAACAGATTGTGGTAGTGGGGGGGTTTTTTGTTTGTTTTTTGAGCGACAATAAATGTCAGGGGCGTATCAGCATTTTATGATTTGTGGTTCTTAATTATAAAAGTTAATAGTGACTGAACTGGTTGTTTATGGTCACATAATAAAACCATGTTGACATTTGGCTCATAAATAAATGTTTGGGTTTCTAACAACAGTTCCATGTAAGATAAATGAGGACTTTGAGACTGTCGTGTCACAGCAGCGTCAGCATATATAATGGGTGGTTTCCTACTTAACTCCAGACAGGATGATTTGGATGTTTTGTTGTTGTTGTTTTTAATCTGATTGATTTTGTCATTCGAGTTAGACGCCTGGTGAGCTAACAGTGAAGTGTAGCAGAGGACTGTTTGAGCCTCCTGACTATTTTTGTGCTGTCTTTGGTTTTTGGAGCATTTTTATTAAAATCACATGAAAAATGTCTTGCTGTCAAATATAGATCATTCAAGACGTTTGTGCTTCCGTTTAAATGAGTGAAATTTGAGTGTTT